CAGGACCGGACAGGACAGGACAGGACCGGACAGGACCAGACAGACAGACCAGACAGACAGACCAGACAGACAGACAGACAGACAGGACAGACGGGACAGACGGGACAGACGGGACAGACGGGACAGACCCGACAGACCCGACAGACCCGACAGACCCGACAGACCAGACAGACAGACAGACAGACAGACAGACAGACAGACAGCCAGGCAGGCAAACAGACAGACAGACAGACAGACAGACAGACAGACGCACAGAGAGAGAGAGAGAGAGTTGGTTCTGCAGGTCTGATGGCTGATGACTTTGGGCTCTCGACTGGTCAGTCAGATCTTGCTTTGGCCTCATGTTGACCACTGTCTACCTCCTGCCTCCTCTGAAACTCACACCACAGCAAAGGATGAACACGGGCCAGCCTGCCAGTAGACGCCTTCATCATAATCGAGCAAAGCTTTCAAGGGCCCACGGCAACACTTTTGGAAGGACCTTAGGAATGATTGACAAAAGGATAAACATGATCTAACCAAACACAACCAAACCAAGCCTTTCAATAGGGGTCTTGCATGTCTCTCCATGTCCATCGCCTCTCATCGTCAGCTGCTTGGAAGACCTTTCGTCACAATCCGGGATGCCCATGTTGACATGCAAAAAAGGTGGGCCATGTCATGAGCCCGCTGGCTGTCTGAGTGCCAGACTCTGGGAAATGGTAAATGTAGCCATACAAGAAGCGCCTCTCGTCACATGGCGTGGTGGGCGGGAGACCGACCTAGGGAGAAAGCACAGTCCACGCCTGCGCGCCATGCCATGGGCATGAAGCAGGGACTTTGTGGGAGGACTTTCCATCCATGGTGGGTGACCACGACATATCCAGCCTATGACCCAGGAACGACAGAGACTCTCCCCTCTGGAGATTGTATGAAACCAATTGTCTCCCTATCTTCCCTATCTCTTGCAGGATCTATCTCCATCTCCGAACCAGGGCGGTCAACCTCGAACTGTCCCACTACAACCGAGAGTTGCATGACCATCGTCTCAACATGATTCAACATATATATATATATACACCCTAGAAGTCGATTCACCCTTGTTTGAATACCTGAATCCCGAACCACGATTGTTTTACTAAGGATTTTACACTACAAAACCAGATCAACCATTATAAAAATGGTCTTTGACTTCCAGGGTATATATATATACATATACAGTTTACAGTATATGGTTAATCTGTCCCGGATTTACGACTAGCAGTGACGAGCAAAGGAGGAGGCTTGGTTGGATCTGAACCTTTAAGTGTCGTATCCACCCCATGTCCTCACTCTCCGTTCTTTCTCCCCACCGTTCTCCGAGTTTTCCAAACCCGTTCTCCGAGTGGCTCGATGCCCAACAGTGGAAAGGCAGCCAGCTCAAAGCTCATGGCCACCGGATGGCCACCGGATGGCGTCGACGTCTCGAGATCTGGAAGGGGATCGTTGAACCCGAAACGAAGCCCCGAAACGAAGGAACCATGGTACGGGTGGGTTGTCAGCGTAAACAAGCGGCTTGGTCTTCAGGACGTTGCACTGCCAAAACTCGGGTGACTGCAAGGATTTGGCTCAACAATATGCGGTCTGGCCAAACCTGTCCGAACCATGGGGTGTCCATTTGAGTAAGGTGGAAACAACATACTCACACGCTTTGCGGCTGGTGCAGCTACGGCTGGACTTACTTTGTGTCTTCAAGCTGAGATGTAAAACTCGCGGGTCCGCTCCGAATTTGCTCCAACGGCCCCTCAAACCAACGCGGTTGCTGGAAGTCCGAACCCCGCCAATTGGTCCACCAATTGGCCATCCCATTGGGCTCTTTTCGGGTCGTACGGCGGGTGGGTAATGGCTCTTCTCCGAGGGTTCAGGCACAGGACCCAGATCAGTGTCACAGCTGGTTTCCCAGGAATCCTCCGAACAGGCACTCCTGTTCGTGTCAGATGTGTGTTAGCTGGGATAGGTGAAATCCACAAGGTGAGATGAAGGTAGGCGAATCAGTGAAAAGTTGCAGAGAGGTAGGTAGGTGAAAGGACCAGGAAGATGGACGCACATTCTACCCATATACCCTGAACGGTTTCATCAGCAAGAATGGCTGTTGCCGATGGCCAAGCAAATACGCTCATGCCATGTCAGCGCTCGGCCCCCGCCAACAAAAAGACCAATAGAAAGCATGGACAGGTGCGGGCACAGAGGGACGACACTCCAGGCGACATAGGAGGAGAACAGGAGGACAAAACCAGAAGGTTTGCCTTTCACATCCCACAGACTGTGGTCAACTTTCACATCCCTCCAAAATGACAGGCTCATGTTTTGTTCAAGTACTGCTCCGGACTTAATAATTACATTTCATGGTGCATCAAAAGTTGGAAAAAAGATCACACCTCAAGAATACGGAGACAAAAGCATACTTTGACCATGTCTGGGGTCCATCCTGTCTCTACATGGGCGAAAAGGGTCTTGCGACCAATCCGCCCAAAACCCGCCAGTACCAACTGCGCTCGTCACGCGCGGGTTTTTGCGCGGGTCTTTTCTCAGGTCACCAGGATCTCAACGCGCTCTGGAGCCCGTGCCTGTCATGGGATCATCAAGGATCCAGGTGGTGCGTCCGTACGAGGGATGGGTCCATCCTGGCCCCAAAAACGTGGGTTTTCGGTTTTTTGACAAAGGGTGGCTCAAATTCAAGGGTCACCTTTTGTAAAGAACTGTGGCAAAGTTGACCATCCAACTTGAGTGCCAGGCCAACCCCAACCATGGTTTTTGAGCGGAAGCTGTTTGGAGCACAGCCTATGCCCGTGCCATGCATCCAACACGTTGCATCATTTTGCTATAATGCACGCGTTCCTTCGCGAACATCAGATTCATCAGGCCACCGGCACCGGCCGCACTGGCCGGCGCTACTGATCGAAGCGGAATCCCAGACCAGACCTCGTCGGCCCAGGGAGTCCCAGACCTCGTCGGCACCTTAGGCCCAGTCGGCATTCCCAGATGTCCAACTTGGCATCGAGGGCATCGTTTTAGGGCATCGTGAGGGCGAAGAGCCAAGGAGGACGACGACGATGGGTGATGATGAAGATGAGCCTGATGCTGATCCAGAAGAATGAGACCCACACCATAGGCCAAGCAGGCGCTGCAACAGATACGGTTCAGCCATTTTGTCTGCCTCATACCAATTTCTAGCCCGCTCGCCCCACCTTCTCAACACACAGCTTAATGTGGCAATCACTGGTGGCGACCTATGCATTGCTATATGAAGTCATTAATCATGAGGATGATCATGGCTGAATTATCGGAGAGCTTCAACCTAGTTGACTGGGGACGTTGAAGTGGCAATCTATAGGGCCGTGGTTAAAACATGAGTAAATCTAGCTAGTGTGCGTCGAGCATCAACTGCGGTGTCCGCTCTTTTGCCTTATGATTGGATTGAACATGTTGGTGTTGATGTTTCTTCTTCGGGGGGGTTCTGGGTCAATGTTGATGCTAACTTTCACTCTTTATGTTTGGTTTGGAAGATGGGCAATAGTTGTTTTACTTGTGTTTACACTTGCTTTATCTAGAGGTCTTTGTTGTTTGTTTTGCTGATCTACCTTTGGTTCTTGCCATGTTTGCTTTGCCCTCGACATCTTCTTGGAATTGGTTTGGGTACACTCGCAATGTTGTGTGAGCACAAAAGGGAACATATATATATATACTTATATATATACTTTCATGTATGCTTATATATTATATACTTATATATATATATATAAAGTTATCGAGCACATAGTCTGCTTGCAGTGCATGCCTTTCTCCAACAACAGCTCCGGGTTTTCTAACCGAGAATTCATCCCGGAGCCGCCAAAGAAAACGAATCTCACTAAGAGTCAAAGAATGCCTCAATAACTCTTGAAGCTGTCACCACTGGTGAATGCCGCGTGCAGACATGGGCGCCCCATTTCCAGAACTGGCGCTTTAGATTGATCTTCATAGCAAGACAGTCCCGGTTGTTCAAAGAGCATCAATGAAACAATCACCCATCGTCTCCTTTGCCAGGCCTACCAGGCCCGCCCCAGACCAACGTTCTTGTCAGCTGTGCCAGCACAGCTGACGGCAACTGAAGGTAAAAGCGAAGAGAATGAAAGACTGGCCAATGTCTAGTCTAGCCAAGCACCCATGCCACCGTGACGCAAACAGATCCAATAAATGTCTTTCATTTTGTCATGTGGTTCCATCTTGTCTTTGTTTATTCCTTGGTTCCTTTGCTCCGAAACCCCTTCCTCTCTCACGGCCTGTAGCTCGCAGCTCGAGATCTCTGTGATCATGGCTGCGCAGCCACGGAGCCAGCTGGCCTCGTCGAGGAGCTTGCGCCAGGCAAAAAACCCTGGACCAAAGCCATCCAAAACCACTGGGAGAAGTGGGCTCGGTGGAAAGGAATCCGCCTCATGAACACATCATGAAACCAACCGGGCAACCGGTGCTTCTACGACCAAGTGGCATGTCTGGAAGAATCCTGGCCAATCCATGCCAGAAAGAGAAAAGCTGTGGATCAAAAACCCCAAGGACCAACTCCGCCGGGATGGAAGGTGCGACAGCAAGAGAATGCTCCTTCAGAGGGAACTAGCAAGTGTACACCTCTAGGCACTTGTACAAAATGCCAGCAGATGTGGACGACCTGTCTGGGACTGCCATAGGACTGCCGATCCGGCCGTGGTTGAAGAGGAGGGTCAATGGGGCGGCATGGCAGTCCCAGACAGGTCGTGTCTGGGACTGGTACATCCAGATCCTGTTGAACACCGCCCAGACTGGATGGAGCGAGACGCCCAGACTGAGCCCAGCGACTGCTGCGAGCAGCACGAAGAGATGCCAGAACTGCGGCCGGGCGCCCGCGCGCTGCGCGGCGTGCGCGCCGCGCGCGGTGCATGCGCAGCGTGCAACGGAACTCGTAATGAGAATTCCAAGACCCATGGAACTCGTGTGGCGCGGTGTTCCATCAATCCTGTATGTCGAAACCAAACCAAGGGTATGTCTCAAAGACTCCTTTCTCCAAAGCCCATGCAGTCTATATAGAATCGAAGGGGTACAAAAGGAAGAACAAAATGAAACAAAAAAGCGTAAGTGGAGGTGGGTCTGAGGTGTGTGCCCCCCCTTGTTGTTTACGCTCTCTGAAACTGGGAGGAGTGGTCGCGCGAGAGCGTCTAAGGCAGGCATGAGACGGCCATGGTTCCATAGCCAATGATTGGCGCAGTTTCAACCATTGGGAATACACAACCTATCTCAATCTCAATCTCCTGAAGCAACACGAAACAGACTTCAGAGGTTCCCTTTTCTCGATGGTTGAGAGGGATACCGGAGACACTCGTAAATCTTCTCTCAAACAAGGTCCCTTCTGCCCAGAAGACGTAAATTGCGGCACTTTTGCATCTTCTTGCTGCGCGTAAGGAATCTCAGTAATTAGTAGCCCCTCTTCACTGGCAGTGAGCTTGTTCAGAACTCTCTGCGTTTGAAGATCGATCACCTGGTGGTCTCTTTCGAGTTAGGTCTCCCACAGGCGTTTGCTCGAACCGAACGTCAGCCTCTTGGACGCGAAAACGACTTCTGAGAAAACATGTCTAAGAACTTGCCGGGGAAAGCAGTACCTGAAGGGTTCCATAGCCTGAAATCCTATCATATTCTATCTACTTCGCTTCAGGATGACTCTGAAGAATTCCAAACCTACTCCAAGAGTGTTAGAAATATCGGGCCTATCAAAAGTCGCAGCGGCCTTGTCGTAAACTTACCCACATCTAGACAGGGCCAAATACTGCGTATATAATGCTATGCATAACGTACAAAACATTTACATCAATACATTAAATACACTGAAATATATATATATATATACTGTAAATATATATATGTACATACCACACATCAAATCTGTATAGCATTCGTACGTGTACATAAATTTATTATATATGTGTGTACTCTTCACTTGCTCTTGCAGCCCAGCGGACGCAACTGGTTCCACAGAATTGATTTTCCAGGTCCGTAGCATGCCCCAGGAGACCTGTCGCTCGTGGTCCGGTCTGAGTCGGTCAGTCCATCCGTCTCACTTCCCGGTTCTTCGGTGGTGACACACCGGTTTGGCAGGGTGGACCGGCGTGTCCAAAGGTCCCTGACGGAAGCCTCAGAGTCCAAACCACCGTGTTTTGGGGTGCGAACATCGTTTTGACCCGTTCGGGCGGGGGAAGACATGTTCCTGACCGATGGTAGGCTGGGTTGGTGATCTGGGTCACATGACCGGAGGGTAGGGTGACCCCACATGATCAAATCACACTCAACAAGAAATGGTAATAGGTCAGAGGTGTTTCAAGTCATTACAGTAAGTCTTAAAATGTGTCTGGAAGTCATGACTTCAAAAAGTGACCGTGACGGAAATGACCGTCGGAAAAGTAACATAAATGGGTCAAGCGCTCAAAAGATTGGCACGAACATGGAAGAATAGCCAACGTCATACAACACCCACTCTATATAAAGACTCATTCTATTTTTTCTTATACTGAATGAGTCACATAAAATGAAAAATCGTGGTTAGCCACACCAATTTTGAGTTGTCGTCTTGCAACGGGGATGACAAAGGTAACTTCCCCTGAAATCAGAACCCCTGCTCTACGACACCAGAAACCCTGCAACTGGCAGCCCATGTTGGGGTGTTTCATGGTATTGTAATATACATATAAATATAACAGATGCGACTTGAGAGGTGGCGCTGACTTGGGCGGAAAACGAGCAGGTGGGGCACATCCCATGACCGCCACCCGTGGCCGCTATGGCCAGGACCCGCCGCTATAGGCGCTATGGACACCCTACGGTAGGGCCTATCCAAATGTCTAGGTCTACCAGTATACGCCTGTCGGGCGAGACTTCTGTGCGTCCCATAACTCCATATGTTCGCTGAGCGAGCTCATCTCCCACTTGTACAGCAGCGTTCAGGATGCCGGAAAGACAAACAAGAAATCCTCTGTCCTTGTCGCCCCGCTCCAAGGTTCAAGATACTGATTATCCTGATACCCCTAAAAAGGCACTCAGACTTCTATCACCAGCGCTATGTCAGGCCTCTCCCCTCCACCAGTCATCCTCCCAGTCTTCCCCTCCAGTCATCCCGAGGCACTCAGCTTCTCCTTGCCCACCCGGTCTGCGCAAACGAAGAAGACCTTCTGGCCATGGAGCGGCTTCAGACGCCGGAGCCAGGTGTCCTAACACGAGCTTCGTCCGAAAAAACCGACGAGGTCGGTTTTCGACAAGGCCGAAACCGACGAGCCGAGGCGTCGCAGAGGTGGCGATGTGTGAAGCTGAAGATCTCGTGAGAGAGATCCTGATTGTCATGCTCCCAAAAAAAACTCGATATCTCATGATATATCTCTCTTTTTCATCGAACACCTCACCAATACATAGCCTCTATTATAATATGCCTTGAACGCATGCGAGTCTGCGAGGATTTTTGAGAACCATGCCGGTCGTCCCACCCACACGTCCGGGGCATCGCTGATAAAACTAATCGCGGGCATCCAAGGCGTGCATTTGGCACAGGGACCGTGCACCTACGGATGGCTTTCCACCGCTTAGATACTCATGATAGTCTCAATTGAAAGAAATCTAAGAAACCAAAAACACCTAGAAGAAGGAAAAGACATTCTGGTCATCTAAGTCATCTAAGTACAGTAAGTGAAAGACATTCTGGTCTGCAGTGCGCCACGATGGCGGCACGCCCGCCGATCATGCATGATGCACCTGAGGCAACCTCTGAGCCTTGGTCTTATACCCAAAAACTGGCGAAACAGGTTCCCGACTTCAATGGACATGCGGTCGGTTTTTGCAGGCTAAAAGCCGGAATCCTTCAAATCCCTTTCTTCGGACTTGGTCTTCTTCATGTGTTGGGCAGTCTCCTGATTGCGAGAGATTAAGAAAAAATGTGTTTGTTGCGTAAGAACTATTGCAGTGGCATGTAGTAGCCCATTGGAAACTAATAGTTACTAGCATGGCCAATGGGTTGACGACTTCAACTGAGTTTATCAACACTTCACCACTCCAAGGTTTATCAAACCTCACAGTACCCGCCCCCCACATCACATCCGCCAAAGGCTCCAGCGTCTCTTGTGACAGCTCCTACCGTTCGCCCCGTTATCGACCGCGAGTCGTCTCCGTCGGGACATGTCGTCGCGTCTCGAGCACCTGGAGGCCGGTCCGGCCGTCTCGGTTTTGGGGCGCGGCTTCGGCTTGAACGAAACAAGGACCGTGCAGGAGTGCCAACTACGAGGACTTGTTCGCATAGTTCAGAAGACCGAATGATTGCTGGCAGTGCATGTGAACTGTATGGTCCAAGCGGTGCCCCAGTAGAGCTTCCTGCAAGCATTTGGACGTGTCTCCAGCTTTGTGATGGCTTGTCTTTGGACACCTTGTGCTGGGACCAGACACAGCTGAGGCCGAAGAATGAACTCACTTAGGCCTGTTTTCCAGGGTCAAAGAAAGCATTCCGCTGCTAGAGGTCACTGTGAACGTGCTGGCAGGAGACGTGTGTGAACACTAAATAGATCGAAACAGAAGCCATGTCTTGTTTTCATTCTTGGAGGGGTACTTTTCTCATCCTTTCTCTCTCTTTTGGGACGTGCTCCCAACCTCGAAAAACACCGCTCCTCATCGCTTTTGGCCGTAAAGGCTTCGGGGGCATCGTCGGGATGATTCTTGCCTTCGCGGCCAAAGCGATCGGCCCGGCCCGAAGCGGTGCGCGAAGATTCCTCGGCGGATCCCTAGAGCCTTCATGGCACACAGAGCCTTCCCTGCGACTTATCGAAGTGAATAAGAGCCTGCAGCAGTTCCAAACGGGTGCTATTCATGGAGGTTAAGGGTGCTCAATATCTACTCACTCAGGGACTAGACTAGACACTGCCCCTTTGTGACGCCTGGTGTTCGTCAATTGGTCTTGCCGATGGGGACTTGGCCTTCCACTTCCACTTCGTGGAGGGGCATGATGTTAGGAGCTTAATCATGGCCGGAACAAGGTGCTGGTTGGAGCCCACGAGGGTCTCATGATCATCCCATGTGTGCTCTGCTGCTGAACAGCACAGAAAAATTGCTGGGCAATTCAGAAATTGGAAGACGAATCTGATCCAGCCAAAAATGTATTGAGAAGATCTGACGCCCTTTAGTATTGGACCCGACATAATTGATTGGATGTTTGGTCCTTTCTGCAAGTTCAATGAGTTATTCCAGTTCGACCAAACAATGAGAAGCTGGAATCTGGGCGGGGAAGTCCATCATTTGCCAGCTATGTCTTTGTGGCTGGGGAGTTCTTTCCTCAATGTCCCCTGGAACGCCAAGACCAACCCACTGGAACGCCACCTTCCCCCCCCATGCAGAGCGTCCACCCATCTGCAGCTCAGTGTCACCATGCAGAGGTAAAAACCAATAACCTTGCTGCGCAGCCCATGTCGGCTGGGCTGTGGGCTGTCAAGCGGGGGGGGCAAAGGTCATGCGTCCAAAAGCGATACGTTCCAATCGTGGAAGAGGAAGACTAAGACTACGGAGTAGCGTCCTTGCCTACTAGTAGCGATGCCCTTTGTTACTAGATGTTACTAGTAGCTTCTAGACCTCGGCATGTTTGGAGCCGGACCTGACCCTGAAAGCCAGTCTGCGAAGTGTTGCCTTCCCAGTCTCTGCTTCATGACGCGTGACTTCCACATGTCTGTGATCCAGATGTTCGACCAACATCGAGCAACTTGCATCGTGCTGGACGGGTGGTTCCACCAGTTGGGTGCTGGACGGGTTTGAGCGAACGGAAGGTAGGGAGCACCTCAAGAAACCTGAAGCCTAGGCTAAGCCCAGGCTGATGG